GAATTTCTCTAGTGTCCAGCAATTAATAAGTTCCTAAGTAAATTCCTGACTATTCTAAGAATTACTCATATCCTAAGATCCTTCCAACTCCCTTAGGAAAAAAAAAAAAAAAAAGGCTGAAAATTCCCCATTTAACACAAAACCAGGGTAAGGCTACATCACCCTGAGGTTTGGCCGGCGGGGGGGGGGACGGAGATGTGACCTCCCCAAGGTTTTTTGGGGAGGGGGATGCCGGGGTAGGACCCCACCCCCAGCAAAGCCAAACCCTGTGGCAGCTTCACCTCCACAGCTCAGCCCCGGCCCCAATTAGGCCATCAGTGCTAATTAGAAGCTGGCAGGCACCGGATGCCTCTTTCCTACAAAAAAACCCCTAAAAAAATTCTTATGGTTTCTCCCCGGGGATAGAAGAAAAGCTCTTTTCTGGGAACGGGGAGGGGGGGAACCACCTGAGCACGGACCAAAAAATGCCCCCCCCTTCCTCCCCCCCCCAGCACATCACGCTGCGGGGCAGGGGTGGCTTCTCCCCAAATCATTAACCCGCTGTCAAATATTTGTGGGAGCCAGGGCCAGCCTCCAAAGGGGAAGAGCCAGGAATCGGGTGCACATCCCAGGTGGGGTGGGTGGCCAAATCTTTTTTGCCCCCCCCCAGATTGGGTTTGTTTGGGTTTTTTTGGGTGGGGGGGGAAGATTTAATAACGCCTACGTGGCCGGTGAGAGTTCTTTGGGGGGTGTTAAAGGGAGGGTTGGCATCTAAGGGGAAGTGGAGATCAAGGCAGTAAGAAGCTAAAACACCACACACACACACACACACACACACACACAACGTTGGGAGGATTTGGAGGTAAAAGGCGATTTTAGGCTCTTTTTAGCCACGATGTGGCAGGATGGCTTGATTTCCCCCCCCCCCTTTTCCCCTGCTCCAGCCACTCTCTCCACGTCCCACGGGGGGCTTTTTAAAGGCTAAAGGAAATGGGGTATCACGTGCTCTTGGTATTTTTGTTCCTGGTGAAAGGGTTTGGGGGGGGGAGGAGTGGAAAAAAAAAAATCATCATATAATAATTCCCTTTCCGGCTCCCCAGCTCCCACATCCCGGCATCTGGAGCGTGTTGTGTACGGCCCCATCCCGGGGCCTCCCGGAGCTGTGATGGGGGGGGGGAAATTGGGAGGGGGGTTGTGTGGAAATCCATCCTCCAGCATCCCGAAATACCAGCGGCGGGTTTGAGTCATCGCTTCCCGCGCAAGGGGCCGGCTGTTTCCATCCTCCCAGACCCCGCCGTTAACCATTTCCCCCCTCCCAGCCTCAAAACCCAACCAAATAACATCCCCCCCCTCCTTTCCACCCCGGGGGGGGGAGGCTCTTTGCATCAGGATTTGGTGTTTCCTTCCTAAAATAAACGGGGATTTGGGGATTTCTTCCCTGGTGAGCGAGGCCAGCGGTTTGGCGATGCCATTAAACATCCTCCCGCTCCCCAATTCATCCCCCCCCTTCCCCCCCTCATCTCCCTAATTGCCTCCTGAAGACCACGCGCTCATCAAACATGAGTTGCTCTTTGATTGCGAAGGGATAACGAAGCGAGGCTATTAAAAGGGGGGCCTGGCGAAGCGCTCTGCTGCTTTTACAGCTGGATGATTTCTTATATATATATTATTTTTTTTCCCCCCCCGATCGTATAACCTCTCATTTCAGGCTGGATAATCTTTAATTTGGAGACGAAGGGCTGCAGCCATGCGACCGACAGCCCCGGGGGCCCGGAGGATGCCATCTCCTTCCCCATGGACCGGCCGTTAACGCCATCCAGCACATCCCCAGCCTTTTAGCCTTTATTTTTTTTGGGGTCGTGTCGGCTTCATTTGCTCATTTATGAAGATGCCCCGGAGGTTGCTGGCACCCATTTTCCTGCCCATGAAGGACAGGAGGAAGCGGGCAGTGGGAGGTGGGATGTCACCCTGCTCGGGGCAGGGAGAGGAGGGGAGCAGAGGGGGGGGGATCTTCATCCCGGGGATGCCGGGGTTGAAAATTCCACACACCCATCCCCACCCCGGGGTGTCCCGGTGCCACTTGTCCCACGGGACATCACCTCTGCCACCACCAAACCATCGACCAGCTGCCGGAGGAGGGGGACGTGCACAGGGACAGCCCCCCCACCTCCAAACCATCATCCCTCCTGCTGTCACGGGTGGAAAAAATGAGATTTAAGCTGCTTTTTGGTTTTTTTTTTCCCCAAGAAGGAGGGAAGCAGACACCAGTTGAGTCTTCTCCCACCTCCCTTTCAGGCAGAAAGAGGTGCCACGTGGTGATTTTGCCGGGTTCAGCCAGCGGAATGACTACAAAAATTTTTTTAAAAAACCTGAAATTTGCGTTTTCCTTTTTTATTTTTTTTTCCCCCATGGCCTGAGCTGCTGCCCGAGGTTGAAGCCCCCCCAGTCCCCCCCCCCAGCTCCTCCTTCAGCCGGGGAGCGTGTCAGCTCGCGTTAGCTCCGTGCCCGGCCGGGGGGCTGGGGAGCGGGAAGGTGCCGGGGGGCAGCGCGGGAGGGGACGATGCTCCCGTCCCTCCGCATTAGTCACCTTCCACAGCCAAACCCTGACCCAACGAGATATGGCACCGTTAATTAAATAGGTCCTTTCCTCTCCATGTGGGGAGAGATCATATTTTCCCCTTGGTTTTGGGTTTTGGGGTTTTTTTTCCCTCCCCGGAGAGGGGTGGGTGGGAGAGGGAGCGGGGAACCTGCTGTTGGCACCAGGGTGTTTGTCCCCACCACTAAGTGATGCCGTAAGGATGGTGGTGGCACCAGGAGAAGACACAATTCCACGGGTGAAGCCACCTCCACACCCCGCTGGCAGCAAGGACCCGGTAACTTCTTCCTCTCCTTCATCCTTTTAATTAATCATATGCTTATCAGAGGGCTCAATCAGCTAATGGAGCTGAGTTAATTGGGTTCCCCGTGTGTTAAACCCTCCTCACACCCCTGGCTGGCAACGGTGGCGGCAGCAGCTTCGGCGTTTCCTCCTGCCCGGCATCCGGAGGGGGTTATTTCGGGCTCATCCCTCAGCGCTGGGACGGGGCCAGGAAAGAGCAGGATGGGGGGCAGGGGGGGGAGGCCAAATCCCCGCTGTGGGGCTGGGATGGAGCCAGCCAGGGCCAAGGCCATTTCCTATGGGATTTGGGGGGGGCACGGGGGGAGGTCCCAAGACTGGGAATGCTCGGAAAGGGATGTTCCCACCCTTGGTGGTGGATGGGGCAGGACCAGCAGAACCCCAAGCACCTCGGACCCTCGTGGGCACCCTGTGCTGGATGCCAGGGGTAGGGGCTTTGGCTGCGGAGCCCATCTGGCCGTCCTTCCCCCCCACCACCACCCCCCCCAAAAAAAAACCAACCCCAACCCCACACTAGCAGAAGCATCCAAGGCAGCCGACCGCCCCCGCAGCTCACGTGCACGACGGACTCATGGGGCCACGTGTGCCAGCCCACACGGCTGATGCCCCCGTCCCCGCAAAGGGATGCCACTCGGCCATCTGCCAGCGTTGTTTAGCTCCCCCCACCAACATCTCCAGCCACCTCCTCGCAGCCCCCTGGCTCTCCCCGTGGAGAGAAAGGGACCCCCCCTCCGCCCCCGACCCTATGTTCCAGGAGGGCTGATAAGCTGAAGGCCACGCTCGCTGTGTGGCCTCGATAGGCCCAGCTCGCCCGCAGCCTTCTCCCTGAGATAGGACAGGCAGGGAAGGGGACAGTGGGGACACTCTGTCCCCACCCTGTCCCTAAATGCCTGCAGAGCCGGCCAGAGCTGTGGGGCAGACCCAGCTCTGCTGCCCCACACCCCAAAGCACCCAACACAAAGCCCCCAGTTTGCACCAAGCCGACCGCCCCCGCAGCTCACGTGCACGACGGACTCATGGGGCCACGTGTGCCAGCCCACACGGCTGATGCCCCCGTCCCCGCAAAGGGATGCCACTCGGCCATCTGCCAGCGTTGTTTAGCTCCCCCCACCAACATCTCCAGCCACCTCCTCGCAGCCCCCTGGCTCTCCCCGTGGAGAGAAAGGGACCCCCCCTCCGCCCCCGACCCTATGTTCCAGGAGGGCTGATAAGCTGAAGGCCACGCTCGCTGTGTGGCCTCGATAGGCCCAGCTCGCCCGCAGCCTTCTCCCTGAGATAGGACAGGCAGGGAAGGGGACAGTGGGGACACTCTGTCCCCACCCTGTCCCTAAATGCCTGCAGAGCCGGCCAGAGCTGTGGGGCAGACCCAGCTCTGCTGCCCCACACCCCAAAGCACCCAACACAAAGCCCCCAGTTTGCACCAGCTGCTGGGTACCACCGAGCCAGGCACCATCAAGCCACCAGGTTGGGTACCACCAGGTCAGGTACCACCAAGCCATAGGTCAGGTACCACCGGGTCAGGTACCACTTGCTTGGGTACCACTTGGATTGAGTGCCACTGAGCCACCTGGTTGGGTACCACCAGGTTGGGTACCACCAAGCCACCAGGTCATGGACCTCCAGGGCAGGTACTATGGAACCACCAGGTCACATACCACTAGGTCAGGTACCACTGGGTTGGGTACCACCAGATACAGTACCACCAAGCCACCAGGTCACCTACCACCAGGTCATGTACCACCGGGTCACATACCACTGTGC